AGGGAACCAGCTACTAGATGGTTCGATTGGTCTTTCGCCCCTATACTCAATTCTGACAATCGATTTGCACGTCAGAACTGTTTCGGTCTTCCATCAGGGTTTCCCCTGACTTCAACCTGATCAAGTATAGTTCACCATCTTTCGGGTCACAGCATATATGCTCAAGGTACGCTCTGGTTAGAGGCATAAATAATATAAATATTATTATGCATAACTGATAGAACGCCCCGGGATTGAATTAATAGACTATAAATAGACTAAAAACTAATCCCATAAAAGTTATGTTAATTTCGCTATTAGGTTTATATTCCCAATAACTTGCAAATATGTTAGACTTCAAGACGGGTCCCGAAGGTATCCTGAATCTTTCGCATTGTAAATCATATAAGCGCATATAATAAACACAAAAATCAAGATTAATGTGCCATTATAGAATACAAGTATTCAAGCGCTATATATAATAGATCTATCAACACTTTATCGAATCAAAAGCATTTATTCTATGTTAATACGCAAGCATACTAATTTGAATAAACTTAAGCCATTGATCTTATGATAAATTGGGTATGTTAATAGATTACAATGTCCTTATATGGAAAAAATGCACGCCATTCTTACTATATTATTCATATAGCAATCATAACGATGAATTTTCCATAATGGATATTCAGGTTCATCGGGCTTAACCTCTAAGCAGTTTCACGTACTTTTTAACTCTCTATTCAGAGTTCTTTTCAACTTTCCCTCACGGTACTTGTTTACTATCGGTCTCATGGTTATATTTAGTTTTAGATGGAGTTTACCACCCACTTAGTGCTGCACTATCAAGCATTTCTCATACTAGAAATTGAACACTCCATACACTGCATCTCACATTTGCCATAAAGACAAAGTGACTTAGTGCTGAACTCTTTCCTTTTCGCTCGCCGCTACTAAGGAAATCCTTGTTAGTTTCTTTTCCTCCCCTCATTAATATGCTTAAATTCAGGGGGTAGTCCCATATGAGTTGAGGTTGTATAAAACAAATACTAATTTATAGTTTACATTTTATAGAATAAATCATTTTAATGAAAAAATCTTTTCTTTTTTGTATGTTCATATTTTTTCTTCAATATAAAAGAGACAATTCTAGTTCATAAAAAATTTTTATGCTAGACCTTCCTCAATTAATTGAAAAAAATGAAAGTATTTTAATAAAAAAATACTAGGATTTTTTCAATGAGGTATTCTATCTTGACTGGTGACAAAAAACCAGAATCCAGTAATATAACATGTGCTCAAAACACAATTCAATAAATTGAATTGATTATTTAAGCAACTTATTTAGCATAGTCTTACAACCCTCAACCATATGTAGTCCAAGCAGCACTCTAAAATTAATTAAAGTACCTTACAGCATGGACTGCGATATGCGTTCAAAATGTCGATGTTCATGTGTCCTGCAGTTCACACGATGACGCACAGTTTGCTGCGTTCTTCATCGACCCATGAGCCGAGTGATCCACCGCTTAGAGTGATAATTTATTTTTGTTTTGTATACAGTCAAAATTGTTTTTATTGAAAGAAATCAAAAATACACCAAAATGAATTGGCATATATCAATTTCTTCAATAACTTATGTTTTTATACATACAATTTATGTTGCGAATGTCTTAGTTCAAACAACCGCTTGACATCAACATATCCGAAAATATATCGAGCAAAAAGAAGAACATTAACTTATATTAAATATAAGTACAACTGTAATTGTATGTTTTGATTTCAATGTATGTATTCGATCAATTAAGATCAAAACAGTACATTGTAAAAATCAAATAGTTTTTACTTTAAAAAAAAATAAAAACTATGAACAATGTATGATTTTATATTCACAAATGAATGTGAATTGTAAACCAGTACACTGACAACGAAACATGTAAGTTTTCAATGAAGAAAACGAACACAGTTAGGTTTTTTTGCGGGGTTTTTATTTCCAAATTTCACTTCAATGAAGAAGTAGAAAATATGGAGAATAAAAGTTTTTGTTATACGGTTGGAACACGTTAATGATCCTTCCGCAGGTTCACCTACGGAAACCTTGTTACGACTTTTACTTCCTCTAAATAATCAAGTTCGGTCAACTTTTGCGAAACATCCGTAACACACGAGGCGTTACAGTGATCACGTCCGGAGACCTCACTAAATAATTCAATCGGTAGTAGCGACGGGCGGTGTGTACAAAGGGCAGGGACGTAATCAATGCGAGTTAATGACTCACACTTACTGGGAATTCCAAGTTCATGTGAACAGTTTCAGTTCACAATCCCAAGCATGAAAGTGGTTCAGCGGTTTACCCGGACCTCTCGGTCTAGGAAATACACGTTGATACTTTCATTGTAGCGCGCGTGCAGCCCAGGACATCTAAGGGCATCACAGACCTGTTATTGCTCAATCTCATTATTGCTAGACGCAATTTGTCCATTTAAGAAGCTAGTGTCCTTATAATGGGACAAACCAACAGGTACGGCTCCACTTTTACAAACACATTCAAACGCTAACACATTTTACTGCGGTCGCGAATGAAGGCTATAAAAGCTTCAACACCATTTGGAGCCTGCTTTAAGCACTCTAATTTGTTCAAAGTAATTGTACCGGCCCACAACAACACTCGATGAAGAGCACTGAAGCAGGTTTAAATAGGAGGAACATACATAAATACAAGTACCTATGCATGTAAGAACTCCACCGGTAATACGCTTACATACATAAGGTATAGTACAAACTACAATTATAGTTGTACTACCCGTATGAAGCACAAGTTCAACTACGAACGTTTTAACCGCAACAACTTTAATATACGCTATTGGAGCTGGAGTTACCGCGGCTGCTGGCACCAGACTTGCCCTCCAATAGGTCCTTGTTAAGGGATTTAAAGTGTACTCATTCCAATTACAGGGCCTCTAATATGAGTCCTGTATTGTTATTTTTCGTCACTACCTCCCCGAGCTGGGAGTGGGTAATTTACGCGCCTGCTGCCTTCCTTAGATGTGGTAGCCGTTTCTCAGGCTCCCTCTCCGGAATCGAACCCTGATTCCCCGTTACCCGTTGCAACCATGGTAGTCCTAGATACTACCATCAAAAGTTGATAGGGCAGACATTTGAAAGATCTGTCGTCGGTACGAGACCATACGATCTGCAAGTTATCTAGAGTTCAACCATATAAACGATCAAAGATCGCTTGGTTTTAGCCTAATAAAAGCACACGTCCCAAAGGTCCGTGTTTATAATGCATGTATTAGCTCTAGAATTACCACAGTTATCCAAGTAACTGAATTAACCATAACTGATATAATGAGCCTTTTGCGGTTTCACTGTTAATTCGTGTGTACTTAGACATGCATGGCTTAATCTTTGAGACAAGCATATAACTACTGGCAGGATCAACCAGAATAATGTTTTATTGTATGTTTTTCCATCGACAACTTAATGAAAAATCAACGAAACGAGTCACCAAATATTGAATGACATCGTTTTCGCGTAATTTGTTCAAAAAGTATATTGGAGGTATTTTTCTCAATATTTTTAGCAATTTATTTCAAATTACTTTTAACATCGCAGATAGTAGGTTTTTCAACTTACTATACTTGATATTGATATGAAATTAAGAATTTCATATTTTCGTTTAACCATTTGGATAAACATTTTTAAAAATCACACATTTGTTTAACGAGACTCCTCACATCGTACGATGCAAAGAAACTCGCTCCCTACTATTCAAACAGTCAACGTCTCAACTTAATGAAACATGCTTGTAATAGTAGGAAGATAACCAATAAAGACAATTGTACGCACTGCACAATCGTACCCGCTTATAGTGAATGAATACTACCAACCACAGCAATCGCATTCAACTATTACTAGCTGACGGAAATACTGCGACATCCATACCCACTCGAAGCGTTAATTCATCGCAAAACTCATCGTATAACATGAACAAACCACTTTCAACCACTCTAATGGTGATTTCAGTCATCGTTCTTAATGTTTCAATGAGTTGTGATGACTACGGTATGTGACCACATTTTCATGACAGCCATCATACCTATAGATAGTTTCATAGTGCGGCACATTAAAATGTGAAAGAGGGATGATTTTTGAAGAAAAACCTTAATAAAAAATTAACGAAATGGAATTTTTGGAAAAAGATTTTTTATTCATTTTAGTTGGAATAATGGGTAACTTATTTTAAATGAATAAAATTTTTTTCTCCAAAAATAAAAAATTTTAATTTTTTTCGTCGAAAATAAAGCAATTTTTAACGAAAATGGGAATTTAGAAATTTATTTTATTTCTAAAATATTCAATTATGATTGGATTTTCATGAAATTGACAGGGATAATGTAGATAGTCATTTTACATTGATTTATAGAGGAAAATCATCAAATTTGACCAAGTTGAATATTTTATGAATTTTTTATTAATATTTATACATGAAAAATATTCGAAAAAAATTCATAAAAAATTTAAAACATGGAAATTTGATGAAATTCGAATGGCATAAAATAGCCCAATGTAAAAGCAATATTTTATGCCATCAACGGGTAATTTACGATGAGTTTTGAATTTTTGGTGAATTTTTTTCCATTTTTTTGAAAATAATAAAAAATCGAAAAATATTCATAAAAAAATCAGCGTTGAAAATATCAATGATATTTTATTTTTGCTTAATAGTAGTAATAATTAGACATCTTTTAACGCATAAATGGGTAATTTACGTGCATGTAGGATTTTTTTATGAATATTTTTCGATTAAAAAAATAATAAAAAATCGGAAAAATATTCATAAAAAAATCAGCGTTGAAAATATCAATGGTATTTTATTTTTTATTGATAGTAATAAAAATTAGCTATCATTTGATGTATGTTTGGGTAATTTACGTTGATATTTGATTTTTTTATGAATATTTTTCGATTTTTTAATATTTTTGAAAAAATCGGAAAAATATTCATAAAAAAATCAACGTTGAAAATATCAATGATATTTTATTTTTTATTGATAGTAATAAAAATTAGCTATCATTTGATGTATGTTTGGGTAATTTACGTTGATATTTGATTTTTTTATGAATATTTTTCGATTTTTTTAATATTTTAATATTTTTTGACTTGTAGGAAAAATAGGTACAGTAGGAATCTCGTGTATGGATTGATGTAAGACATTTTCTTAATGTCGACATTCTAAGCAACATTTTGAGACTATGCACAGCTCCCGCCGTGTAGCCATTCAAAAGTTATTCAGTATTTTGTGCACCTATCTCCAAATACTTAGTTTATTTGGCATTTTGAAAATAGGGACAGTAGGAATGTTATGGATTGATATGAATAAGTCACTATATCGATGACATATTGACCATGTTTTTGTCATTATTCTATCATTTTCATTAATTAATGTTAATAAAGCCTTGTATAAAAAAATAGAACCAAAGTTCTCTATATTGACTTTGAAGAAAAAAACACCTAAGTCTTTCCTTCCCCAATAGCATCAACATAGTGTACACTTTGGTTCTTTTCGTTCGAATGAAAACAGCCAACTTATGTATATGCGAAAGAAACACACATCTCCCATAAGTTGGCTTTGCTGTTTTCACTCCAAATGAAATGAGACCAACACATTCAGTTTATATACACAACCGAAGTGTATTGGTCTTTCACATTCATTTTTTCTGCCATATGAAATGGTAAAGTCCCCTCACAGAAACAATACCCTCCATTCAGCCAAAAAAACCCAAAAAATTTTTCGCCGCTAACGCGGCGGTCCCTTTTTTGGATGCCGAGCAACAGGGGGGAGCCCCCCTTTTACTTATTTTACTAAGTCAAAAAAAATAAAAAATTTTTGCAGGGCTTAACTCCCCCATGGGCCCTCAATATTGAAACCTGCATTGCAAGAACACTTAACAACATATTCTCACAACACATTCGTAGTATTCCAATATTGATTAGCAAAAATTTCTTTTAAAGACGCATATAAGTCGTCTT